CGACAGCGAAACCCATCTATATGCTAAAACATATACGTTTTGCATCGGGGCTGGGGCTATTGTTGCCTCCTGGGGACGTCCTGGGGGGCCTCTCGGGGGCTTCTTAGAGCGTATGCGAGGCCTTCGGGGGTGTCTTGGGGGCCATCTTGGGCATCTTGGAGCGGCCTTTGGGTGTCTTGGGTCCGTCTTGGGGCGTCTTCGGGTTCTCTTGGCGTGTTCCCGGGGCGTTTTGAGGGCCTCAGGGACGCCCAAGAGCCTGGGCACACACATTTGTGGTCGCGGTCGCGGCCCCGGGCCCCCGGTCCCGGTGCGCCGTGATAAGTATATACAAGCATTGTTCAGCGATGATATTCAACCCGCAACCAGTGTCAACATCGACCCCCGCCCGACGCGGACATCCCCTCGATTCTCGACGGCCGCGTCGCCTGCGGTCTCATTCTCCCGCCCTCGCCATAACCTATGACGGGCGCGACTGCCCCACTCGCGGTCTAGGAGATCTCGGCAGGACTTCTGCCGAAGTGGTGAACGCGGGCAACCAAACCGCGCGACGCGGATATGGCCGTCTTTAAACAGCTCGGCCTCGGGCTCACGCCGCGCAGTGTCTTCGTGGCTTCCCTCGGCGAAACGTCACTACGCATGGGCAAGAAAAAAACCTCTCATTCGTCAGCAGCGCTAAACAAACCAACGAACAAGTCGCTGAGCCACGAACCCCCGGGATCCAACGCCACTGGCGTCCAGGAGTATTGAATTGGAACCGGCGCTTGGCACCGAGGGAACGTTCGCCCTTCTCTGCCCCGTTCCAGCCTGGTGCCGCCCCTTGGCGTCTGCGCTCCTCTGGCTGCCCTTCTCGCTGCTAGCGTCGGAGCCAGCTGCAAAACATGCCCTGGTCGCGTTGGCCGCTGCAAGTTCAACTTGCTTTTGTTCGCGCCCATGCATATAAATTTATGTATGTATGTATATATCGGCTTACTGGATGTCCGCGCAGCTTGTTCCCATGCCCCCCGCCCCAGCGCCTCCTCAAAAGTAAATGTCTCGAGCTGCTGGCGCAACGGAAGGCCGCGTTGTCGGCCTCGGCATCCGCCTCTTGGGAAGGCGTGACAAAGCCCCTTCTTCTGCTGCCCCTCAACTGGACACGCAGACGAACTCCCGCCGCCCTCGGGCCCCGGGCGCGCGGTCTATCTCCCATGACCTTACATTTGCCTGCATCGCGCTTCTCCGCGACAGGTGGCGTTGCTAGCGCAGGGCGTCTTTCTTCAGTCGTCCGTCTGTCAGTCTGTCTGCGGGCCCCCCAACCCCCCCGGCGCCGATCGGGCCTGGGGCGGCGGGCAGATGGCCAGGGCGGCCCCTGCATTGGGGCTTTCTTCCGACTGCCAAGATTGCATTCATCCCCCGCTTCCCCATGATCTTCCGGAACTCAAAATAACCGCTCATGTGGTTTTACATCCGGCCCGACCCTCTCGATACGCCACCCGTGTCGCAGTGCGTCGTGGCTCATTTCATATATGGAAACATCTTCATGCGCCCGTAAAAATGCCCGCGCGCAGCCGCCGTGGCTTCCGGATATGCAGCCGAGCAACCGCGCCAATCGCGGCTCGGGGCCATCCACTCGTGGTAGAAGTTATACAGGTCTCCCACAACCATTCCTGCAATGCTCGGCGCGGATTGAAAACCATGGACGCATCGAGCGTCTCATCTCACGGCCGGCAAGAAAAGGGGTTCGCCGCGCGCTTTAACTGCCGCGCGAGACACATGCGCTACGAGGTGAATATGGTGAGGAGGTGGATTCGTGTTCTGTGTCGTATTCGCTGGCTGTCCAATGAGGTCAGAAGCAATGCACGTGTCGATGCGTTCACATCTGCCTGACCTCTGTAGAATCGCTGCATCCGCCTTAAGAGCCAGCGCCTGTGCAATCCACGGTCCAGCGCCTGATGCGTCGCACGAAACTGAGGATCTTGAACGGGCTGCGCGCCGTCTCCACCCCCGCAGGGCAGCGGCGTCATGGATCGGCAAAAGATTGATCTCCGATGGTTTGCTCATGTGCTTCCAGAGCTCCAAGGGGTAAGTCATAAGCCAACGATTGCCCTTATCGCCGCCCCCCCCCCCGTCGCCGCCCCCGCCAGGAAACCCGCCCCCGCCGCCGCCGCCGCCTCCAAAGCCGTCGGACGGGGATTTGGTGGGCCAGAAAGGTTTTCCGGCGTGGCAGACATCTTGTCAGAAACTCCCCTGGCGACTTAAAGAGGTCGGGAAACGTCGGAATCTCGCGACATTGCTTTCCCGTCTGACCCGTGAGCTTATGGTCCACATCTACGGGGCGGACAAGTCCGACGTGCTCTCAATTGACCCGACGCGTTTGGCCTATCCCATGCATCGCGTTCCTGACGCATCTGCACTAACACGCTTTGTTCCATGGTGAACTTGGCCATGCTCACCGCCACCCATTGTTGCGGACGCGAGCGTTCTTCTTATCGACGTCTTTTCTCTGCGCCGCCCATGCAGCTTCCGCTTTACCTCGGGCGCAGATCCCGAAACGTCTCGCCACGAGATCTAGGTGATCACTGCAACATGGCGTAGTGCATCGCATATATTCTGTCACCTTGGGATTGCGGCGGACATGGCATTTCCCCGGGCGACCCGAAGCCACGGCGACACGGAATTGCGGTCTAGTCTCAAGAGCACGCTGGGAAGAGGTTCCCGGTCCCTGAAGCCGAATCTCAATTACCACTCCACTCGACCGACCGTCCTCTGAGGAAGACGCACCCCTTTATTTCATCATGGCGGGCGGGCCTAATAGAGGATCGCTCTCGCACCGCAAATCTGGACTGAAGCACCACGGGTGTGTTCTCGTCGCCAAGGTTGGCTGCGCTGCGGGACTCATGAAGTGATGACAGACCATTGTGTGCTGCCCTCTGACGTGCTAGAATTTCACTGACCAATTGCAATCATGCCTTCGCCTGTTCTGACTGTTGCTTCCGGGAGCTCATGTGTTGGATCATCGATCTGGCATATTTCCTCCGAGTGCTGTGTCATGGTAACGGCCTGTGTCTGTTTTCCTTGCAACACGTGTTCTGCAAACCCATGGGATGATGATACCCCATGGTTGGCAAGATGCACCGTCAATTGTATTCGTGCTCCTTTCGCAACCACTTATTCGGTCTCTCGGCTTCTCGTTCCCAAAACCTCAACTCAGATAATTATTGCAGTTCCTTGTCTTGTTCAAACTGTGACAAATATCGATGGGGTGTTTCCGGAAACTACAACTTGGCTCAGTTGTGTTTGTCGGGCCGCGTAGTGAAAAGGACTCTTTCTCAATACATATTTTACAAGTGCGCTCATCTGTTGTCAGCCATGAAAGTCAGCATTTTTGCGGTCGGGTTGTCACGCCACTCCATCTCCCTTGCTAGCCTATAATCTGCGTCTGCCTGTTGCCATTCCAGCAGTGCGACATGGTGGTCGTTGTGTCCATTATGTCCAGACATTCGGAGCGAAACCAATTGAGGGTGCAATGCTGACAAGTGGCGGAGCATCTTGCGCATCCGGGCGTCTGGTACGGTCCCTCTGGCCAATGTGTTTTCCCCAGGCATGTGTTCTCAACCGTGGAGTTGCATCCCGGCCGTTGGCCCAGCATCCACTCTGAACTTAAATGCCTGTTGAAGAAGCTCCGCATGATCCTAGAGTGCTCCTCAATAGTTGACGCCGTCTGGATGCCAAAAAGCGATTTGGATGGGAATACCCTTCCCCTTTCATCATTCCACTGACGTGCGCATGGGGTTCGTAATGGTTCGCGGCTCTGACTCTCAAGAGGCGGTCGTAGTCCATGTCTCGAAGTTTTGTCGGTTCAGGGACCTCAGCTGGGAAACATAATCTCTGTAGGGTTTTAGGGCTATGGGGCGATAAGGCTAGAGGGCTAGAAGGCTATCGCGCTATATGGTGACAGGCCATAGGGTTATTGGGCTATGAAATTATGGGTTGTTGGGCTACAGGGCTATAGGGCTATAAGGCTATAGAGTTATTCGGGCTATGGGGATACAGGGCTATAGGGCAATATAGAGCTACCGGGCACCTGGGCACGTGGGCACCCAGGCACCCGGGCACGCAATCACCCGGGCACCCGGGCACCCGGGCACCCGGGCACCAGGGCACCCGGGCACCCCTGGCACCCCCGGGCGCCTGGGCGTGCGGCGAAAACCGGCGGCAAACCTAACGTAACCATATGAATCCGCTAGGACCGCTACAGAGGCAAGCTCTGATTGGGGAACATGCACCCATTATATCATATTCGGGTGCCGCATGGCGCTTCGGCCCGAGAGTTTTCCCCGTGAAACTTGTTTCGCGATCAGGTTGGGAAGGGACGGGAACCACTTTGCTTTAAATGGGTGAATCGACGAAATATCACAAACGCGTATCCCCAGATTCCAACCTTGCAAATATATCCCGTGATTGACTGCAGACGACAACGTTTGTGGTCCATCCGTAAGGCTTTCGGCTGGTAACCAACCATTCGCCAAAGCAGCGCGAATCCCGGCGACAGCGTGGTTAACGTTAATGGTCTATGATGTGTCTCTTGCGCATGATGGATCCGTTCAGCTGAAATTCGGAAGTACTGGGATAGGGTCGAGGAGCAAACAAAAAGAAAACGACTACACTGCGGACCCCTCTCTCGGCCTTTTCTCTTAGCGCACGCGCCTCACGCGTGTCTATGTCTGGTCCTTGACAGCTGCGGAGCGGCGTCGGCGGGCGCAGACAAGCATAACAGAAAGCGAGCGGGGAGAGAGCAGTAACTACTGGAGGAGGAGGAGGAGGAGGAGGAGGAGGAGGAGGAGGAGGAGGAGGAGGGGCAGGAGGGGGGATGGGGGAGGACGGAGGAGGAGGGACGAGGACGAGAACGAAGAGAAGGGCACGAAGACCCCAAGGACAAATACCCGGGGGAGGACACGGAGAGGGAAGGATCGAGCAGTAGGGAACGACCAGGAGGGACCGAGCAGCATGGCGGGCCGCATCGCCTCGCCGTCTGGGCCGGCACGCGCGTGCGCCCAGTCGCCCAGCGCCAGAGCCTCCCAGCGGCAGGGGGGGCAGTCGCAGGGCGACTGGCCCTGAGATGGTGTAATGAGGTGCGGAGCCAGCGCTCGAAATGGCGATATTACCGACAATCTCGCAAGTGCCTTAAATGCATATATCAGCCACGTTGGCCTTGCGACGATCGCGTCGAACAACGTCAGACCTGATTCCACATCTCCAGAAAAAAAAACGCAATCAAATTTGAACGACGCAAATGTCAACACAATATTGCTCGATCGCGCCAAGCCCGCTACCCCCAAATGTAGAATCGAAAACACAACGATCTCGGAAATTCCGAATCGAGAACAGAACGAATCCAAAAATTCCGAGTCGTCAACACATAATTCCGGAAATTTCAAAATGCTAACATCGTACTGTTCCAGGTGCGAACCACAATTCCGGATATTCCGAAACGACTTTCCGGAAATTCTGAAATCACAAGAAGGAATTCCACACTTTCAGAAATCAAAGAGACGAATTCCAGAAATTCTGACATTTCCAGAATCGCGCGCCTGGCGATCGGACGTCTTGGAATTGGTATTGCGCAGCCGTTCGAATTGGACAGGCCTCTCTTGGGAGAGTCCGAACCTGAAGGTCTAACGTCGGTTGACGTGGTCGTCGCGAAACCAAAGTGGTCGACATCGGCATGGAGGGCACTTGCGGATATCGTCGATAATACCACCATTTCCAGCGCTTGCACCGCATCCTTTTACGGCAGGTTTGTTTTGTGTCGACCTGGGCGTCGGTTCCTAACGCCGTCGGGACCTTTCAACCTTGAACGATCGGCCGTTTCCACAACGTCCCATCGTTCAACATCGACCGACTCTGGGCCGCCGCCGGCGTTCAATGTTGAACGTCGTCGGCGGGGTCGGTTCCTGAAGCCGTCGGGACCTTTCAACCCTCTCCACAACGTCCCATCGTTCAACATCGACCGATTCTGGGCCGCTGGCCGACACGACACGAACCTGCCGTACATCGCATCCCCTCTTCCCCCCCCGGACATCTTGGTCGCAGCGGTCGGTTCTGCCTCGTTTCGGGCCCGGGGACCTTCACGGATCGATCCGGCTCGAGAACTGCCACAAGAGGGATGCGGTCCAGGGTTCTGGCGGGGTTTGTCTGCTGTGTTGCAACTATTGCGCGACGTCGGATCTCAGGGAGGTCTGTGCGTGTCAATCGCAGCTGGGCCAGGCCAATCCTGGGCAAAGGAACGGAGCATGCGCCCCCCCCCCCCCGGCTCGGCCAGGGAGGCACACTTGTACCAATGCGCGGCTACTCGCAGGAGTGAGCCTAGGCAAGAGTGGCCTCTGGTGCCCAGCTTCGGCGACGCGCCCGGGCGTGAAGTGAGCGGAGGCAGGCCTTCTCAGACGGCGGCGCTTCTCCGAAGCCCTTGCGCCTTCTAAGAAGCCGTCTCTGTCTGCGGAGAAGGCCCAGAAAGGTTCTCAGAAGGCGCGAGGGCTGCTGAGAAGCCCCGCCGCCTTCCGAGAAGGCCTGCACCCTCTCACTTCCCCCCGGGGCTCGCCGCTGAGCGGAGGGGCGAAATCCAAGCGCGCAGGCCAATGATGGGGGGCCCCTGTAGGCCCGCACCGAGGGTCGCTCTGGCAAAGGGCCACTCTTATGCCAGCCACGGGGACAGGGTCGAGAGGTCCTAGGGCCCATGCCTCGAAGAAGTCGGGCCGCAGGATGTCAAAGGCCCCTCTCCGACATGCTGCTCCTCCCATCATTCGCCTCGACGGGCGTGCTGTAGCACCATCAGCGCTGACGCCTCCAATGTCATGGGGGTCATCCGTCCCAGAGCCCTCCCTTGCTCCCCTCCGGCTAACCTGAGCGCTGACGCCTCCCATGACAGGGGGGGGTCCTCCGTCCAGAGGCCTGCTATTGCTCCTCTCCGCCTCACTTGCGATGCGTGTTCGACCATGGACCTCTCGTCACGCAGAGGCCTTCTGCGGCTCTCCTGTGCCAGAACCAGACGCGTGCGCTTGACGACGGGGCCCAAGATCGAGAGCACACACGTGCCGTCTCTGCTCCTCAGTGGCCTCACGGGCTGCTCTGGTGGACAAGCCTCGCAGGCCACCTCTGGTCCTACAGGGCCTCCAAGCCTCCACGTGCCAATGCTGGGCCAGATCGTGGTGGATGTTGCCTTCAGGCCTGGCCAGGAGCCGAGCCGATTCGGGGCCGCCGGCGGCGTTCAACTGCCGCGTCGCCACGACACGCACCTACCAGGGGCAACTCCAACCTCCCGACCTTCTTCCTGGCATTCCCATCCGTGGCCAAAAGGGTTGAGCGAGTATGGGGGGGGGCCCTTCCCAGAAGCCAGGGGGGCTTCAAAAAAAGGGATGGAGGCTGTAATACAGGCTTTTTGGAAGCCTCCGACGCGTCCGCTCAGAAAAGGCCCCCCCCTCGCCCCGCCTCCGACAAATTACAGATCTGCTCAAACCTGGACCCCAATCCCCGCCCAAGTCCATCCCAGCCAATTTTCCGAGCCACGTCCAGCCGTGGGGACGAGAAACCTTCGTGGTGCACATCTGCCCAAGCGCAACCCGATTCGGCCTGCCCGCGCGGAGGGGGCGAACGCTGCGACAAAAAAGTGCGCGGACGCGGGGGGGGGTCAGGGACCGTGCCGTGAGGTGGGAACATGAAAACTGGGCGGCCGCGCGGCCACGGAAATGATGTGACATCCATATATCCCCACCAGCCCGTACCCCCGCCCCCTTGGATGTTCCCCTGGCTCCTCCCGAGGCCCGCTTCCCCTGGCCCTGGACTCGTTCCGCACAGGGTTCGCTCCGGGTGGGCGGGGGGGCCCTGACGGGCGGACGGGCGGCCACCACCCGGGCGGGGACAAGCACTCGTGGGCACCAGGCGAAGCGAACCTCGGGCGAAGCGGGTGTCGCCCAGGCCCTGGCCCGGACAAGTCGCCACGTCTACGCGCTCCGCGCCGCGTGGGGTGGCGACTACCACGCCGCCTCCGCGTACGCTGCGCTTTGCCGGGGGGGGGAGGGTCGGCAGGATGGGGAGGGGCGGGCGAAGGGCGGGGAGCGAGGTCGTCTCGTCCATGCCAAGGGTTAGACCAGAGGAAACGCGCCCTGCACGGCCTCTGGTGAAGAAATGCTCGGCTTTCCAGGCAGACTCACTCACTGACCCCACCTTTGGGCTTAACCCCCTTCTGCGCACGCCGGGCACATGACATCCATTGCGCGAAACTGTCACCTCGATCTCCGCGAGCCTTGCCCGCTCCCACGACCCCGCGCCTCCGAGCGAACCCTGGCCTCAAAGCCCGTGAACACAGACAGGAGCTCGGCGAGCGCGTTCACGTCGATCTGCTGCCTAACCTCGACATCTACGCCGACGAGGACCTGTGCTCGGCAGGCTAGGACAAGCGCCTTCCAATACAACGCATGGGGGAGCTGCCAGCCACGGACTACGCTGGCTGTCGATGTCAGCCTCGCTTGGCTCCAACACAGCTGCAGGTGGGAACGCACATCATCAAATGAGATCAGGCTGACTCGCTTTTCCTTTCTTAGGGGTTTGCCCCCACCCCCCTGTACCGTCCCCTTTCACTCGAATCTACACGTACAGGGAAGCTGGAAACACTCAGGGCTGGAAGCGCAATGGACAGAGCGGTCAGGGTGGGATAACATCACGCCCGCGTGGGTCCCCGCACACAAGACAGAACAACAGGGGCCGAAACCCCGAAACAAGTCCCTTTGATAGCGCGGGAAAGCCCCCTTTTCTGCCCTGCGACGACGTCTGCTAAGGAAGACGCAACGCACGACGACAACAGAGAGGACGGCCCAGGCTTGGCCACCGCCGCGCAAGAATACGTCATCAGCGCGGCCCCAGTGGGCGGCCTGCCTGGGCCAAACGAGGAAACACAAGCGGATGGAAAAACATGGATGTTTGCGAGGCCTGGGCGGGCGCACGCGGGGCCCTGGGAAGAACACACGAAGGCGAACGACTCAGAGGGGTTGCAGAACCGTTTTTCTTTCAAGTCTGGCGTGGCCCGATAGGGAAACGACAAAACACAACAAACAAGCGCACAGAGCATGAAACATAAACGGGCCAGGCCCGCAGATACGTCTTCCCACCCCTGTATCTACATAAATGAACCGTCCCCATACAAAGCTGTAGCCAGGCGTTCATACTTTTGTTTCCTTCGGAAGAAGTGTGATTGCCGAGGTTTCGCCAGGTGGGCTGCCGCGGGCGCCTCGTGACTGCCCTGGCCGGCCGCGGTCTCGCCGTGTGGGCCGCCGTGGGCATCTCGTGGGCACCCCGTGCGCTGCCTGGGCGTCCGTGGGCGCCTCTTATGCGCTCCGCGCGGTGGGTTTACCGCACCTTCGCCTCGTGGGTGGCCGTGCGGGTGCCTTGTAAGCGCCCGGTGCTATGGGCGGCCGCACAGCTTGCACCACATAATTGTTTTTGCCACGCAGTTATTAACACGTAGCACGTAGCTTCCCCCCTTGCCTGCGTCAGTAAAACTCAAAACAAAGGTAAAGGGGACAGTCACTAGCAGAACTGCAGAACTCCCTCGAGTCTACGCGGGGAACTATTCGGCCGATGACCTGCGGGAGACTTTGGCCCCCCCCCCTGCAAGCACCGACTAAAAGAGCTGCGCAGGTGGCCAAACAAATCGCGGGCGCTCCCTTCGGGGCAATGTCGTGCCGGCGGGCTGGGCGGCAGGGCGGCGGGCCAGGTCCTGCTCGGCCACTGAGGCGAGCGACGGCCGCGCGTCGCCCGCCATCTTCGGCTCGCCACTTGCCAGCCGCCATCGCTTGAGTTCAGCTCTGAGGCTGAATCTCTGCGCCAGCACGCCGCACACCTGCGCCAAGGCGCCGCTCTCCAGCAAGTCCAGCGCCGCCCCTTACGTCTGCAGCTCGCGCACTGCGTTTGCAAGACCTTTCGCCTCGTCTCACTGCCACCCACTCCTGCTGCGGCTGGCCCAAACGCTCCGAACTCGGAGACGGCCGCGAGCGCCCTGGCCCCTCGGCGCCGCGGCCCCTTCGGCGCCGCTCTAACGGCCACCTGCGCGTGGGCAGCAGCAGCAGCGTCCGCCAGGCGACCGGCTGCACCGCCGTTTGCAAGCGCCCCGAGAACGCGGGCGCCACCGTCTCCGCCGCGGCCGCCGAACGCGCTCGGGCGGACCCAGGGCTTGGCGAGCGTTCGACCCGATCGCAAGCGGAGCCACTCCACGTGAATGCTTGCGCGTCCAGGCTGAAGCGGCTCCGCGCAGTGGGCTGATCCACCCGCGCACAAGCGCAAGAGATCCGCAGGCCAAGCGCCGCGAGGCAGGAACAGAGCATCCAGGTAGAGCGCTTCGGAGGCGAGCGATGCGTCCCTGAACTGAGCGTTCAGTTGGAGTTCCTGAAGCCCAGGGGCCCCTGCGGCGTCGATCTCGACCACTGTGGTCCCGTTGATGCCGCCATTCGCGTCGAAGATCGGAAGCTCCACATTCATGCCCTGTGTCCAGGCTCTGCTCACGAGGGTTGCAGCCTGCATCCACGGGCCGTACGCACGCGCCCCCGGCGTCGCCCCAGCAGCCGCCAACGCGCGGCCGTCCTGCACGCCGCGGCCTGGCGCGCCTGGCGCGGCCGCCAGCGGGCCGCCCACGCTGGCACCAGCGCCTCCGCCGCCAGCCGCGATCGCGCCGACCAGCGCGGCGCCCACGCCGCCGCCTGTGGAGGTGCGCCTCTGGGCACACCGCAAGCCGCCAGAGGCGGCGCACCGCCGCCGCCCGCCAGACCAGGGAGGTGCGAGCCATGAGGTGGCAGACCCAGGAGAAGAGGGGTTCTTACACCTCCGCTCAGCGGCACCGCCCCCGCCTCAGGCACCCGAGCCAGGAAGAAAGTGCCCGCCGCACCCGTGGCCTTCTCAGCGGCAGTGCCTCCAGCAGCGCTGGCCCCCTCGGTGGCGCCTGCACGAGCGCCAGCACCTCAGCCTCGACCCAGGCCGCGGCCACGCCCGCGCCTGGCCGCATCCGCCAGCGCGTTCGCCTTCGCCTCGGCTTTCGCCCTGCCCGCAAGCGGCATCGAGGCCGGCCAAGGCCGCGATGGTGGCGGCGATGTGGCGGGCCTGGTCCAGCAGCGCCGCACGCTCGCTCGGGTTCAGGCGAGCCTGTCGAGCGCTGTGGCGCGCCAGCGACAGCAAGTAGCACAACTCGCAGACTTCCGACAAGCTGCATCTTCCCGCGAGCGCCAGGGACTCATCCGGCTGGAGTCGCCCACCGCACAACCCTCAATATCGCACAGCGGGCGGATGCGGGGTTCTGCCCATGCATTTTTCGAAGGCTCGAAGGTTTGACCTACAACAACTGCAATGCAATCTACTGCGGGCTCAATCGGTTTCCCGCCTGGGCCAAACACCCGCCGTAAACTTCGTTGTGTACATACATGCGTATACACATGTATCACACACATACATATATATATATATATATATATATATATATATATATATGTACACACACATCTATTTGATGTGATGATTGATGCCTGTCGCCGCACTCATCCAGTCCAGTGTGGCGAGTCGGTCCGTCCTGGGGGTCGCTTAGGGCCGTTGTGAAAGCATGTGGGGTGTGGGGTCCTCCCTGGTGCGCGGAGCGCGCCAGTGGCGGCGCCAGGGGGGCCGTCCAGCGCAGACCCAAGAGATCCCCGCGGGCCTCCGAAAATCAATGCTGGCTGGAAGAAGACGAAGAGGGTCAACAAAACCTCCATCCTCGATCCGTCAGCATCACCCTGATAAGTGCGTATTCGGCAAACAGGGACTCTGGCAAATGCAGGGAGACTTGCGCTGCCCCGCCGCTCTGCACGCGATGACGAATGAGGATCCCTGCGCTTCAGGCTTCGGGACTTGTGCGAAGAAGGCGCGCTTCGCCCCTAGATGGCTGCGGCCACAAAATCCGAAGTGTGAAGCGATGCTTGGATGGTCGTGCAAATACAGGCGAGGACAAAAGCGGACACATCATGGCATCCCAATGTCTCTCGCGGTATGGCGCAGGAACAGTGTCGTTTCCCCGCCGCTCTCCTGCACAACCCCCGCGTGAATCGGGGCGCTCTCATGCCATCTGCCTGCCACCTTCCTACCAGCCGTGGCGGCGAGAACTATGGGGTGGCGCGAAGCGGGCGACATTATGACAAGGCGGGGGTGTATATCAGAATGTAGGCGGCTTCTTCTGCCTTACAGCACCCCCCCTTGGTTTCTAAGACGCCTTCTTGGAAGTACCCGGGTGTTTCTGACAAGGCCCCTGCCTTCTGAGATGCCCCCCCCCCGCCTTACCAGAAGAGCACCCCCCCTCGGGCAAACTCCTCGTAAGAGGGGGTGAGGAAGAGGGAGGGTGGTCGCATCATGGCCCGAGGCATGTATGCCGACGAGGGGTGGGGCCAGGGGATGTGCTGACAGAAGATTCGATGGCGCCATGGAGCCGAGGAGATTTCATGGCCTTGGCAATGATATCCACCACCGCCCTAGCCCCCACCCCCCTCTTGGACGCCTCCGATGTGCGCACTGCCAATCCGAGGTTGGAGGATCGCGCCGCATCGCCGATGTGTCTGCGCCGTCGGCGATGCATCGGCGGCGTCGGCGTGGAGAAACCCCGGCTCCGCATCGAGTCGCAACGCCGATGCATCGGCGATAGGGTGCGATCCCCCGACCCAACCTATACTCGGACCCCGAGGCCTAGGCAACCACCGTTGGCTACCCGTCCCGGTCGCTCCGAAGGCCAGGGCCCCATCGCCGATGCATCGGCAACAGGGCGCGATCCTCCGACCCCACCTATACTCGGACCCCGAAGCCTAGGCAAAGGCCGTTGCATGCCCGTCCCGGTCGCCCGAGCCGGGGCCCGCGGGAGAGCGGGCCCAAGACCAGGTCGATGAGGCCGTTCACCTGGCTGCGCTGGAACGGCCTCGGCGGGCGCCGGGCGGCTGGCCCCGCGGCCGCCGGTCACCGGGAGGCGACGAGTTCCTCCTCCTCCAGAGGAGGTAGGGGGGAGGCTCGCTCGCTCAACGAGGGAATGGGTCAGCGCCGCTCTCCATGTGCATCTTCTGCGTATGGGAGGGAGGGATGAGGCGGAAGAAAAAGGGGGAGGGGGAGGGGGAATGAGAAGGGGAGAGGGAGGAAGGGAAGAAGCAGCCGCAGGGCAGGAGGCCGAGGAGTCTAGCTGTGATCCGGCTAGCCGAAGGCGCAGACTAGGCTGGACTTCTCTCGGGCCTGACTCGAATTGGGCCCCAGCTGTTCCTGCAACGGCAGGGCTGAGGGGGGGGGATGGAGGATGAGGAGGGTGCGGAGGAAGCGAGGGAGGGGAGAAGGGAGGATGACGGCGGCGGGAGGAGCTCGCCCCGGTCCTTCTCCCTCCTCCCTCCAATCGTCCCCCCAGAGGTGTCTCGGCGCGCGGGCGGCGCCTCCGGGCCGTGGGGAGACTACGACCCGCCAACTCGTCGCCTGCGCGGAGGCAAGAGAAGCTAGTGTCCCGGAGTCCGTGAGCTGCGCACCCCAGGTCGCTTGAGGCCTGCAGTCTCTGACCTTGTGGTCTGGTCTCTCTCCTCTCTTTGCACTGGGTTAAATCCACGTTGGACCGGGTGGCGGTGGCCTCATCCCTGCCCTCTCTTCCTCCTCACTCCTCCTTCTCTTTCTCCTCCTGCTTCCTCCGCCTTCCTCCTCCTTGAAAAGAAAAAGCGAGGAGGAAGGATGAGGCTCATTCCTCCTCGTCGTTCCTCGCCCTCTTCCCTCTTCGTTATCCTGAGCACTCCTGTCCCTCGCCATTCCTCATCAGCAGTTCAGGATGTCGTGGCGCCCAGCTGCGAGAGAGAAAGTCAGATAGGGCATTATGATCGTACATGCTGCAGGTGTCATCCGCGCAGGTTCAGTCATGCTGGCCATGGTGCGTCAAACTTGTATGACAATTGCGACGCATTGCGGGCACGCCTGCTGAGCTTCTCCCAGGGGGGCGGCTGAAGACAAACCACTGACACACTCGGTCGATCTGCCGATACTTGTCGTGCTTCTGTGCGAGGAGATTCTTGGGGGAGGGCCAGGAGCATCAGGCGGGAAGATGCAGGGCGAGGCGGGGTGGCTCTGCTCGCCTTGGCGAGCGAGGAGGCAGCCACAGGCGGACCGTCCAAGAAGAGACCCCCCAACGAGTAGGACGCACGCACGCACTTTCCGGGCGTCGCGGCCACGCGCGCAGCATCGCAGAAGACTCAAGCAGAGGTCGGGCGAGGAAGCGCACGCACACACGACTTCAGAGCCGGTCTTGCCTCTTGAAGGCAGCAGCGGAACCAACTGCACCATTTCCCATTTCGATTCGTGGCAATGCTCCGAGGGCGGGCGTAGCGGGGCGTAGCCGAGGCGCGCGGCATGCCGGCCCGAAAGGCGTCGTACGTCTGCGTCCGGGACAGCAGGTCGTGCTGGCGCGAGCTGCCAGTGCTCCACTGGCGGGGCGCGCGGGGCCCAGACGGTGAGAGTGAGGGGCAACGTTCGTCAGGTCGGGCGAAAGGGGGGGGGATCACACGGGGACGTAGCTGGTTTCCCTGGCGTCTCCTGGCGCTGGAGGCGCCAATGCACCAAGTAAGGCGCCTGGCTGCGGGGCCGAAGCCAGCTGCACGCAACAGATTTCGTAGCTCCCCTTCCCGATCCACCCCGTTCGTCCGACCGGAGTCAAAGGGGGGAACCGGCTCATGGGGGGGAGCATCCAGCTGGCATGGGAGATCCTTCGCCGATGGATCAGCGAGAGGCCCCCGAGTGCGAATCCACGGGGTCCTTGGATGGGTGGGCTATGAGGCCCATATCGGCGATGAATGGACTGTGTGGGGTCGATGCCCCCCCCAACCCGCAGGACCCCCGACGTCATGATTCTTTCACGACGTAGACCCCGGGAGGTCTGGACCCCTTCCTGGGCACTGGGTTTTCATCCCGAGTCGTTGTTTTTAGACGCAGGCCAGCGTCAACCGACCGCGTACGTGTGTGCACATGCTGCTGGCCTCTGGCACCCCGCCCCGCCCCAGGAACAGGGAACAGCCACACCACCACCACCGCCAACGCGAGGAGCCAGGGCGTGCATACGCCGGTGCGCCCTTCTGGCGGTGTGGTCGGTCCCCCCTGCCCGCTCGAGGCGCGCCCTGCAGTCATCGAGCTACTCCGAGGAACGCAAAGTCACAAGGAACGAGCGGGCTTTCCCGGCCACGGCGAGCCTCGGCCACGAGTGGTCTCCCCGACCTGGATCTGAAGAGCGAGCCGAACACCAGAGCCCCTCCTGAGCCCAAAGCGGTCCTTAAATCGGCGCCCCCAGCACGGGGAGGCATCGTTTCGTCCCGCCAGAGAGGGCACCCCTTAGGACATAAGTGGCGCAAGCATATCCGCCGATCCGGCGTGTGAGTTTCAAGGAGTCTCAGCTACAGCCTCGAGGCTGAGCCTCAGCCTCTGGGGGGGTTGCCGGGGTGGCTCTGCCGGGGAAGGGGGGATGGGGGGGGAGGGGGGGCGAGTTTCCGGCGGATACGGGGCGCTGCTTTCACAGAAGGCTCTAATCTCGAGGATGCGCTGGAAGGGTGGCCGCGGCCGCAAAAGTCTCTGAGGACGGTCTAAGAAAGTCCCGAGACCCCGAAGGATCGCCCGAACACGCCCAAGATGGCCCCAAGACGGCCCAAGAGCCTTCCACAGACGTCTGAAGAGGCCTCCAAGAGGCCTCCCACGATGGCCCCCAGAGGCAAAAATCGTTGATTCCCATTGGTTTTTTCAATGTTTTTGGGGTTGTCGCTTTTTTCGGCTTTCCGACGCTCCAAGACGGCCCAAGAGGCCCCCAAGACCGCTCGAAGACGGCCCAGGAGGCCCCCAGACAGCCCCAAGACGGCCCAAGAGGGCCCCAAGGCGGCCCAAGAGCCGCCCAAGACGGACAAACAGGCCCCCAAGACGGCCCCAAGAGGACCCAAAAGAGGGACGAAAAGCTGAAACAATCTAGCCTTCCAGCCCACGAGGCCCCCAGGAGGCCCCAAGAGCCTCCAAGAGGGCCTCCGAAAGCCCCCAAGAAGCCCCCACGACGCCCTGACAGGCTCCTAAGATGGCTCAAAAAACGCCCCAAGAGGGCGTCCTTGCGCCGATAGGCTCGCCTCCACCGCTCGCACCACATCGTCCAGGCCACATGTTTCGTAACAAGACTCCGTGCAAGACGTATCGTGAGTTTCCAAAGTGATCGGCATCCTGTATGGAATTTCCATGTCATTATCATTTCCCGTCCCCACGGTACGCCCTTTCGTAGGTAACCCGAGAAGTTTGTGCGTTTGAGTGTGCGCCCATAATGTCTGCGTCTGGAGAATAACACCGAGCGACCCGGATCGGCGGCACTGGCCGAAGGCCACTACAATATCAAAGACTCAAATGACCACCGCCGTGGGTAACCCATTCGCGTGTTTCTGTTGAAAAGATGGCAGGCCTTCTGGCAAGAACGAACGAGTAACGCAGCGGCGTGCTCCCATTGGCAGCGAGTCAGTCGATACAGCCGGAACAGGGCCACGAGAACGCGGACCAAGAGCACAGGCCCCTTCGCCGAAGGCCCAGTGCCCATGGATAGATGTCCAAAACTGAGAAAGAGCGTGATCCACCGCCGCTTTACTGTGGGAAATTCCCCCCCCCCCCCTCTTCCTCTGGAACCCGGCCCCCCAACCCCCTCTCCGAAAATCCCCCCCGCACCCCTGCTGGACCCCCCCGCACTCCCCTCCCGCGGCAAACGCCCCCCTCTCCTAACCCCTCCCCCCCTCCTCCCCCTCGAAAACCAAGGGGGTTCACTACCGGTTCGAACCCCCCCCCTCGAAAACCGAGGGTGGTCACTACCGGTTCGACCCCCCCCCCCCTCGAAAACCGAATGGGGGGGTCACTAGGTTCGAACCCCTCCCCCCCCCCCCTCACCGCCAGCAAACGACTCCCGGTCCCTACCACCGTCCGCACCACATCCCCCACTGTTGTTCCCAGCACCACTGTCCTCACCACCACTATCCCCACTGGTTCCACCACCGTCCCTACTGTCCCCACCAGTGCCCCCACCACTGTCGCACTGTCCCCACTGTCCCCGCCAGTTCCCACCACGGTTCCACTCTCCCCACTTTGCCCCAACCTCTGCCCGACTATCCCCAGTGTCCCCAGTGTCCCACTGACTCCTCCGCTGTCCCACTGCACTGTCCCACTGTTCCCACCACTGTCCCCACTGTCCCCACCACGGTCCCCACTGTACCTCTATCCCATTATCCCACCGCCGTCCTCGCCACCGCCTTCACCACTGTCCCCACCACCACTGTACCCTCCACTGTCCCACTGTTTCCACTGTTCCCACCATTGTCCCCACCACTGTCCCCACCACTTCCGTCCCAACCACTGTCCCACTGTCCCCACCACTGTCCCGCTGTCCCCTCACCACTGTCCCCACCACCACCGTCACCACCACTGTCCGCATCCCCCCCCCCCCGGTTTTCGAAGGGGGGGGGGTTCGAACCAGTAGTGACCCCCCCCCCCTTTTCATGATGGACGGGGGGGGGGGAGGAGGGGTTCGAACCGGTAATGACCCCCCGCGGTTTTCCGGAGGGGGGGGGGAGGGGTTCGAACCGGTAGTGACCCCCCCCGGTTTTCCGCCAGCAGCGGTAGAACACGCTCTTTCCAAACTGAGCATCCAGGTGGGGGGGGGGCTTAACGTCGACGGACACGAGGGCAACCCTCCGAGACCTGGGTTGCTCAGGCCTCCCTCCTCGCCAGATCCTGGGAAGCTCCTTGCCACCCGCCACCTCCCCCTCCTCTCCCCTCCTCTCCTCCCCACTCTCCTCGCCCCCCCCCCCTCGGCCCCTGGCCCTGGACCCTGGCGGCGCGCGCGGGCGCGGCGCCTGCCCGTCGGAGCGCAGCTGGAAGCAGCCGGCCGGCCACGCCAGCGCCTCCGCGTCGGCGGGCTCCGCGGCGGGGAATTTCCATGGAGGCTGTTCTTCACTCGGCGGGGTGCTCGGGGAGAGGGGGGGGCTCTACAGGCAGAATTGATTGCACAGGACACGCGACAGGACACAAGACTATTCCGACGGCAACATGGCCTCTAACAAGGGTGCCTGCAACATGGCCTCCATGATGGCCTCTTCCCAGGACTGAAAAGGACACGACTAATCTGGGCCGACTGTAGGAGTATGCCAAGGTGGGCTAGACCTGCCGCAGCCTAGCCAGAAGAGGACTGCAAGTGCCCCTTGCGGCTTGAGGCGGCGGAGCCCACTCCGAAGAGTTACCAGGCCACTCTAAGCCTCTGGGAGTGACTGCAGCCCATTTATAAGGTAGATTAAGCAAGATACACTCCGGAAGAGGGATTTACCACTCCCCGTGCCCTCTCCCCTGGGTCTGGAGGGGAGGGGTCGCGAGGCGCTGGAGCGTCCAAGATGGCATCGGAGAAGAAGCTAACATCCTTGGTTGTACACCGAATTGGGGCACATGTTGGCCTCCTGCAAGCGGCAATGCTACTTGAGGAACTCCCCTCCTTTGATCGACTCCTCCAAGATAGCCCCGACGCTCCCAAGGGTGCCCCAACACAAGATGGCCCCAAGAGGTCAGGAGACCCCAAGTGGCCCACAAGAGGCCCAGAAGAGGCTCCCGAGAGGCTCCAAAGAGACCTTCAAGACGCCCTACGAGGCCCAGACTCCCTCGGCGAGAAAATCGGCGTCATTGATCACGCGCTCTGAGTCGGGATCCGCCCCAAACACCGCGGTTTCGGTCAGAGCCGCGACCCGCTGCTGCACGCAGCGGTCGACTCGCTGGCCCCGAAACTGCCCGACGCGAGCGTGCTGAGCGAGGATTTTGCTGTCGTGATCACGCGGACCAGACTCAACGAGGAGGTCGACGCCTTCAACGCCCGCTCGTGGAGGGAGGCCGCCGAGCCTGCGGAGACAGTGCACGCCAACGCATTCTCAGCCCGTGGCGGCGGGCAAGAACTGGATATGGTACCATTGAAGACGCTTGACACACACACACACACACACACACACACACCTTTTGCAAGACGATTTCGCGACCACGGTCGCCCTTCGTCTTGGAGTCGACGTCATGGATGGGAGCGTCCCGTGCCCGCTGTGCGGAGAGCTATTGGATTCGGGCGGCCTGCACGCGCTGTCGTGCGTGCCTGGGGGGGACGCCACGGCCCAGCACAACGGCGTCCTAGACGTGTATTTCGATTTCTTCGAGCGGGCGGGGCTCCGTCCTCTGAGCGAAGCACCCCGCGTGCTGCAAGCAGTGCTCGGGCGGGACAGCCGGCGAAGGCCGCGCCTCCCAGACGGCTCGCGCGCGATCCGCAGTCGGTCGATTTCGCAGTCCTCAATGATTTGAGGGAGGGCACGGGCAAGAGACAACAGCCGCAGGGGCCGGCGCGGCAGCAGAGAGGTACGACCAGAGGAAGCGAACCGACCAGAACACAGCAGTGCATGCCAGCTGGCTGCCAGCTCTGGCCCGTCGTCAACGAGACGCAAGGCGGAATGGCCACGGCCGCCTATGCCGCGGTCGGGGCCGGCGGCGGAGGGGCGCCAGGGAGAGCCGGGAGCCAACTTCTGTCTGGAGAGAGCTGCTTTCCCGCATGGTAGCTGTGATGTCCCGTTGCACGGCGCGGGCTATCAAGAAGGAGGCAACGCCGAATTTCCCGCTCCTCTTTCTCCTCCTTTTGAGACAATGATATAATGCAGCGCCTTGCCGCAAGATCCCAGGCGTGCCGTGAGCGTGTCCAGCGCGCTGCGCCGTGGGTCTCTTCCCCCTCCCCTGCCCGCTGGCTCCTGTGCGTCTCTCCCGCCTTGCCTTGTCTTTGGCTCTTGGCTCCCCCCTCTCTTGGGCTCTCCCTCTCCGTGTCCTCTCCTTGCCATTGTGTTCCTTGGCCTGTTTGCGTACTGCGACTGGCGGCAACTCGACGCCACCCGACACCTCTCGATATTTCAATGGTTTACACAAAATGTGGTAAGTCGACGCCGCCTGACCGTCTTGAGCCGTCTCGGAGTCCTCTCGTTTGGACGCCCGAAATAGGCACGGACAGAATGGGTACAACGCCCAACAACAAATGTTGTCCCAAACCAACAGCGCCCGCTGTTGGGCGGGCGGCCTTCTGCTTCGAATGGACACAGGCCGCGGCGGCGCGGACAGCGAGTCCTGTCCAAAATGAACAGGAACTGCTATTGGGCATTGTACCCATTCTTTCCGTACCCATTTCGGGCGTCCAGATCTTGGGGGGCATCTTGCGCTGTGTCGCAATCCTCCTGGGGGCCTCTTGGCCCTCTTGGGCCGTCTTGGAGTCCTCTTCGGAGGAAGCCTTGGAAGTGGGCCGCCTCGAGGCCATATTGGCCCGCCTTGGAGCGCTCATGCGCCGCACGAAGCCTCTTGGACCATCAGGAGTCCAGCGGGTCTTGCCGGCCGCCTTGGCGGCATCGTGGATGCACGCTCGGGTTATCTCGAGGCCCCTGGAGGCCAGCCCCTGGAGGCCTCGTGGGAGAAAACTACGGCAGGCTCGTGTCGTGTCGACCCAGGCGTTGGTTCCTGACACCGCGGGAATCGTTCAACCTTGAACGATCGGCCGTTTCCGCAACGTCCAATCGTTCAACATCGATCGATTCTGGGCCGCCGCCGGCGTTCAACGTTGAACGCCGGCGGCGGGGTCGCCGCCGGTCGACACGACACGAACCTACCGTAGGGCATGTTGAACCTGGGGCGGGACGCCCTGCCAATTCAGCTCCACCCCAAGTTCATCCCCCCCTCCTCCTCCTCCTCCTCCTCCTCCTCCTCCTCCTCCTCCTCCTCCTCCTCCTCCTCCTCCTCCTCCTCCTCCTCCTCCTCCTCCTCCTCCTCCTCCTCCTCCCCCCACCTCCTCCACCTACTCCTCCTCCTCCGCCTCCTGGGGCACAGGGAGAAGGGGGGGGCACGGGCCACCCTGGGGCGACTTTCATGTTTGAATTGCCTGTCCGCAATACTGCGACAAGGACGCCAGCACGAATGCCACGGCCACTGGGAGAAGCACCACAACGACATCCCGAGGCCTGACGCCACGAAGATGGTACGCGAGGATGAGGTCTTCAAGGAATGTTGAAAAACTGCGTGAAGGCCGAGACAGACGGGACTGTCACGTTCGCGCTCGGAGAGGGGGAGGCGACGTCCAACGATAGGTTCCGCATCGTGTACCGCATGTCCTTCCTCCCCATCAAGCTGGGCGAGTTCTAGGATAGGTTCGGATGCTCGCCCACCTGGTCACAGCCAAGCCCACCAGCATCACTGATCACGGTGGCAGGAATCGGAGCGTTAACCTGGTGAGGAACCCTACGAGGCAAAATGTGGAGATGGACACGGAGAGGGTCGAGGAGGTGACACAGAAAGGAGAAGCCTGGAAAGCCAAGGAGGTGCTCCAGGGCGAGTCCAACATGTTTTACAACTACGAGGCAGACAAGCTTCGCACCCAGGGCGCGACTGGCTTCTCAAGAGCGCTCAACGCCGAAAAAATCCAGCAGAGGGTCGCCAGGCTCCCTCCAGCTCAGCCCGGTGGTTGCCGAGAAGGCGATGGTGACGGTGAGGATGACGGCGATGATGACCAGCCAAGCGAGTCCAACTGCAGCGCAAGCCAGCCAAGCACTGGGGACGACGGTACGGGTGTTCCGCCTCGCTCAGCGGGGGCCTGCACCGTGCGCGAGCTCCTACAGCCAGCCTCCGCGGGCGGCCCGAGGCCGCCGACGCCACTCCCGGGCTCTCCCGCCGAGTGCGCCAGGAGCGACGCCCTGTCGGCTTGCCAACGCCCACCTGGGAGAGAAGGATCTGTTCAGCGTGGCGCCTCGTCGAACTGGGGGACTCCCCCGAGGAGCATGGGAATGACAACGGCCCGCCAGCCACGAGCGCCAAGGAGCACGTTGCGAAGCTGCTCGCCGCTGCCATCCTGGACCACAAGACGAAGGGCACTGCCATTCGGAACACCAAGGACTTCATGCAGAGGGAGCCGAACGCGCCCGACGTGGACTTGCTCTCGGAGAAGGTAAAGTTGGCGATCAAGTGCACTGCGTTCCTTCGTGGGGGAGTCCACGACGTCAGCCTCAACGATGTCATGGCGACTTGCAAGGACGTCGAAAAATGTGCTGCTCGAGCGTTCGCGAGTGAATCTGACCCAACGTGTCCCCAGACTCCGTGCCTTGGACATTTCCGAATCAGAGCAAGCTTTGAAGTTCGGCGAAATCCTGCTCAAGATGATACTGGCGCCGATGCTCAAGATTGGCCAGAGCAGCGCAAAAGCAGTGATCGACTTCTCTCAGGGCGTCCTGGCAGACTTGCTGGCCATGCCAGCAGAGGGTGTGGGCGAGACACTGGCCGCCGTGGTCACCGAACTGCTCGCGTGCTTCAGGGGGCTCGTGGTGATGATGTTCCAGCCGGCGGAGGGCGGCGGAAACCGCGACGAATGCACGAACCGTTCGCACCCACCGAAGAATGTCCTTTTGGCCCAATCGTTGGCCGCAACCATCCGCTCAGTGCCGTACTGGAATGGTCGGACGGTTCACTACATGAAGCGCCAGAAGCTTCACGAGAGGGCTGAGCCCCGTCTTCAGGAGATCAAGACCGCGCTGCAAACAGGTGCATCTACCGTACCCTTGGCCACGTGCAAGTCGTACCTGGAGAGCATATGCGTTCTGAAGAGCGAACTGCCTGGGGACGCGTTGGATGGCATCCCTGATCCGCTTCACGAGTGCGCAAAGCACCACCTCGGACTCATGAACGAGAAGCTGTGCACGTCCGATTGTCAGAAAGAGGATTCGGCTTTACACGGGTATAGACGGGTATATGACTTTCCTGATGGTGTCAAGCAATCGCTTCACAACCATGATCACGTCAAGAATGCCGTGGGGGACGTGCGGGAGAGGAAAGCAGGGGCTGCGAATAAACCGTTGCTGCTTGAGCTCAAAGAGGCGCGCGAGGTTGGCCGGGTGGTGAGCGACACTTCGATGAAGGCCCTTGGGGAAGCGTTGGCGGCCGCGAAAGGCTTGCACGTGCACCCGAAGATCCATGGTATGGGCGTGGAGGTCGCCGCCGCGAAGATGGTCGAGGACATCGTCATGTCCCTGACGGCCCCTGATTGCTTTTCGGATGGGATCGCGGCGAGCAAGACGAAGAGCAATGACCTCGACATGCTGAAGCTGTGGGTTCCACCGAATACCCATGCGAAGAGGGGCGTCGCCTCCAACTCGTTCTTCCAGGTCTTCGGTGACGCGGTCGTCTTGGCCGAGCGTCGCGCGGCGATGCAACAGAAGTTCGGGGTCTCAGTCGAGGACCTCGCGAAAAAGATGCTAGAGCAAGGCGATGCTCGCCTTGAACGGCCCCTTCAAGACGGAGCTCGATGCATTGGCCAGCGAGATGGCACAAAAAAGCACGTCGATCAATATTGTAAACCTCGTCGAATGTTACGCCTGGCAAGAACGCGTTCACCGGTGGCATTGTCGACGAGAAACTGGCCCAAATTAATATTTGCATCGTAGACTTATCCGGCCCCGCCGAGGCTCTGAAATACTGGGCTGGCGGCGCCAAAGAGCAGAAGAATTAGTGGGACAATCTGAATGCTGATGATCGGAAAAAGGTCGGTCCGAAAAAGTCGTGCTACGACCAGACGCTCGGACAGATGCCAACTAAGACGATAGTTGATCTCGCGGCTCAGACGGACAAGAAATGGGGTCTGCTGAAGCAGAGGAAGGAGATATTGGAGATTGGCCGATCTCAAGTGGACTTTCCGACAGATCAGTTCATGGTAAACGCGTTGACCACTGTGAAGTCGTCGTTGACGACGGTAACAGAGGGCAAGGCGATCGGAGCGGTTGACGCCCTGCAAGGGAATTTGGTCCAGATGGAAACAGCGATCCTGAGCATACGAAAAAGGCATCCTCGTACGAATTGTCGGGCGACAAACCTTTTCGACGTGTGGAGCTCAGCTGTCCCAGCTACCAGAGAAATTGCGAAGAAGGCAATGACTATGCGCATTGCTACCAGATGCAATGCGCATGGTCAAAGTGGCATATTTTCAAAGCAACCTTCACCAACAAGCTCGTCTCGCTGAAGATGCGCTTGAAGTTGTTCGACAGCGTCGTCACGCACACCGCCATATACAGTCTGGCCACAACGCCATTGCTACACGACAGAGGGCAAGGCTATCACGCGTCTGGGCGCGAATATTACGACGCATCGTTGGGTTTCGCAAAGCTGATCACGAGTCCTGGGATGAGGCTGGGCGCCAGCGCAAGCGAACAGTAGAACGAGCCATGACTGTGTATAAAGTGCCCGACTGGCTCGAGGTAGTGGATACTAGCCGTTGGAAAACCATGTGCTGCTCCGCGAGACACGGGTGGCCATCTCTGGCCTTGCGCTGGCGTCCTAGCAATCCGCGTAGAATTGGGCGTCCCAAAACTAAATGGACCGATTCAATCGACCATTTCTTCCGGGATCGATTCACTACCAGTTTGGAGCGGATTTTGCAAGACTCTCTCGGCAGGCTGGTGCAGGATGTTCTGCATCAACACGTGTCATACATGCGAGGCTGTGTGTAGCAATCCGCGAAGGGTGTTGTCGGCATTTGCGTGTTTCCGCTGCACGCGTTCTTCTTTTATGCATGAATCACGCCGTTCCCGCAAGTGGGACGCGACGTCCTAGAGTGCTCGATCGGACTTGTTCGTGTGCAATGGCCATGATTCGAATAATGCGGTTCCATATCTGAGGGACGCAGCGTGCTGGCACTCTGAGCTGTGTGTTTGTGGACAACGTTCTTACAAGCAACGTGCTTGTGCCTGGAAATCTGAAGAAGCATCACCGTCCTCCGTTATAGTCACTCCCTCCTCCTCCAGCTCGCCATCATTCCCCTCCCCTCTCTCCTCTTCCCTTCCCTCCTGTCTCATCTTGCCTTCTCTCCTTCCTTCCCTCACTCCTCCTTCTCCCCCTCTTCCTCCTCCTCCCGAGGTGAGATAGAGGGAGGAGGAGCGGAAAACTCATGAGGTAAAACATGAGGATCCTAAGAAAGACATCGCGTGAGGGGGATGAGGGCACGGATGGAGGGGAGAGGGGGTTGCAAAGACAGCGAAGGGGCGGTGGGGGAGGAGAGGGAACGAACGAGGATGAGGACGATACGGAGGAGGATGCCGACGAGGAGACGGAGGAGAAAGACCAACCATGAGGAAGAGAAACGATGAGGAGGAACAGTGGGGAGCGATGAGGAATGCTGAGGGCGGGCGTCGTATCATCGCTGCGCTACCGCGCATGTCCACCACCATCATTGGATAGACGTCACGTCTACGGCTTGACGTGGGCGAGGCGTTGCATGGTTGTTGCACTGCCGCATTCTGGTAAATTTTCGCAATGCATGGGTTGCCTGTCGTTTGCCGTGCGTCTCGTGGTAGTCCTCGTCAAGGCTCTCGCGGGATCTCGGAGGTTCTGGGCCGCCATTGTCATTCTCGGACATGTTTTCTGCGGCTCTGGGCATGCCGTTCGGGCGCGCGTGGCCCTTGCGCCTCGCGATGCCTTGGGTGGTGCCCCGGGATAGTATTGAAACTCAAGACGTGCGCATGCGGTGGATGTTCATGTTTTTCGGGTGGTGGTTGTGGCCCTTTCGAGCTGACCTCAAACACCACGATGCTTTCGATTTTTTTTTTTTTTTTTTTTTTTTTTTTTTTTTTTTTTTTTTTTTTTTTTTTTTTTTTTTTTTTTTTTTTTTTTTTTTTTTTTTTTTTTTTTCCGTCCGGAATTCAACGGGCGCCTCTCCCGAATCACCACCAGCCTCCTGCGCAGCCACCGGGCCCACCTGCGCACAACTCAATGTGCATCGACCAGGCTGTACAGACATAGTCTCGGCCAAAATGGCTCTATACTGGGCACGACGAAAGTGCAGGAAAAAACCAGCAGGAAGATACGTTCAGGCCTAGATGTGGACGGGTGGAAAAGCACAAGAGGGGCTACGGCTACGCGGAGCGGAGCACGGGGTCAGCGATGCGCGGACGAGGAGCCCAGAACGGAGAGGGGGAAGCAGGAGGGACCAGCGACTAAACGACTAAACGACCACAGGAATTGGCCGACTCCTGTGCTGAGAAAGCAGGCGTCCTAATAAGACCCCGGACGCGGCTCACGAAACCCGACGAAGATCAGGATGAACATGTGGTTATGGTAGATGATGAAGCCAGCGGGCGGCCACGCACGCCGAGGTAGCGACGACGGGCGGTCCGAGCCTCCGCTCGGAGCGAACCGCCACCGGGCCCAGCGAAGCAGCCAGCGCCCACCCGCCCAGAACAGCACCCCTCCGCGTCCCCAGGGGGGACCTGCCTCGCACTATGCGAGGCCGCGTTCGCTCATGGCCTGCGCTGCCATGGCGCAGGCCACGCCTCGTCGAACAAGAGCATGGTCGCGCTGCGCTGCGCCCTGCGCTTGATGCTGGGCAGCCTCCCTCATCAGGCGCGCGTGGATGTCGGGAAGCGCCATCCCGCCCTCCTCGTGCCAGCACCGCACCTCAGCCAACACCAGGATGTACTCGAGGCTGCGGGCGCCCGCGGCAGCCGTGGGCGGCGTCGTAACGCTCTCCTTCCTCCTTTCGCCGTCGTCGTTGGTCTCCACGCGCTGCGGGTCCTTGGCAGGCGCATTCTCGCATCCTGCGGCGGGGGGGGCAAGTCCGGGAAGGGACAACGCACGTCCCCCACTTGCACCCCCTCCTGGGCGCGTCTGGGCATCGGGTGTCGAAGTAGCTGCCGGCCCCTTCCCCCCCGGGCCCGCACTCGGAGTATCCTCCCGGGGGGGGCTGCAGGCAGCGCGGCTGCCCTCCTTCTTCAGGTAGTCGCCGCCCCCGTCGTCGTCCTCGTCGTCCCTCTCCTCTCCGGAGTCCGTGTGGCCACTCATCGGAATCCGCACGACCAGGGAAGCCAATGACTCCTCGTCAGAACTTTCCTCGCACCGCGTGTCCTCACACTCATCCGCCGTCCTGCCGTCGTCGTCCTTGTTGATGCCAGTGATGATCCCGCCGGACGGCGTCGTAACGCCCCCCGCCGCCGTCGCGTCGTCGTAGTGGGTCTTGAGCTCGCTGATGTTCGCCATGGGCATGGGCGCCGTCGCAGCGTACTCCGTCTGGTCGCCCTGCGGCTCGGCGTGCTCGACGGCGAATGTCCGGTCATCCAGCGGCTCCTCATCGATAGCCAGGTTGTCGGACCCGCGGCAAGACCCACCGGCATCGCCGCCGCCCCGATGGCTGGTCTTGCCCGCTCCCGAGCTATCCATCGCCGCCAGCCGCTGCGAAGGATGTGAGCTCGTCCGCTCGGGAGCCTGCGACATGGGCTGCTCCTCCCTAGGGGAGGAGCTGGAAACGGGGATGGTGGCAGAGAGCCGCCTGTCCTGGTCCGTGTCCCGGAAGTGGCAGCACTCGGCGTCGCTCCTGATGCAGTCGCCGTCCGGCTCGACTGCCTGAATGCCCTGCCACGCGTCCTTCATGATGAGCCCGTCCTTCTCCGGCGTCTGTTCGGGCTCGCCGTGGACAATCAGGGTGGGGAAGAAGTCGGTCTCGTAGTCCAAGGCGTCCTCGTCGTCCATGGCGTGGGTGACGCCGAAGTGGCGCATCTTCAGGTCCGTCTGGCACTCCTTGTCGTCGAAAGTGTGCGCGGCGAAAATCTCGCCGGCAGCGTCCTCGAAGTGGCGTGCCGCCTGATCGGTCTGGTACTCCTGCTCCCCCTCCTCCACTGCATCTCTGAGAGCGTGACCCGGCCCCGCCACCGCCGCCTCGGAGCCGAACGGAGACGCCCTCATGGGGCCCGCCGCGGGGCCAGCCCCAGCCGCGCCGCGCGCCGCCGCCTCACCTCCCGAAGCGGGCTCGGGCTCGAAGGCTCTGGTTTCGGCGGCGTCGGCGCAGGCGAACGCCTGCGATGCGGGCGGCGCGGCGGAGTGCGGACAAGGCGCCCTGGCGGTGCAGGCACCGCTGCGGGCGCCGCCTCCAGGCGCTGCCATCGCTGCAGCCGCTTCACGGGCTCCTGGAGTGCCACCTCCAGGTCGGGCGCCGCCTGCCCGTCCGCCGCCGCTGCTGAGCGCCTCCAGCTCGGGTTCCTGCTCCGTGGCGGCGTCCAGCGCCCAGGGGGGGCGTCCCCTCGGGGCGGTGTGTCCACCACCGCTGGCCTCGGCTTGACCGGCATCGGCAGAAGCTCCCGCTGCGGCGGAGGCTCCCGCTGCGGCGAGCCCAGCCCCATCGCGGTCGGCGCGCGGCTCGGGCGCAGCAGCAACGTGGGCTCCGGCACCTCCTCCAGCTCGATCGCGAGCGGCGCGCGGCTCGGGCGCAGCCGCAGCACGGGCTTCGGCGCGGCCCATTCGGGCAGCTGCTGCTGGGGCGGCAGCTGCTGCCCCTGCTGCAGCGGCCGCAGCCCCGGCTGCGCCTGCAGCGTGCCCTGCACCGCCGCGGCCACCGACACACGGATGATGTCCGCGATGGCGTCGCCGCCCAGGCATGCCATGTACCGCCGCGAAGGGGCGTAAGGCTCGTGGTCTCGTCGACGGAAATGTTACTTAAGACCGGGTTTTTCGAGACCTGCGGTCTTGGCTCAAGGTTGGCTCTTGAGCCAAAATGGCTTGAGCCACCAGGCCAGGGGCGCAGGAGCTAGGAGCGTCGGGGGCGTCAGGGGCGTCAGGGGCGTCAGGAGCGTCAGGAGCGTCAGAAGCGTCGGAAGCGTCGGAGGGTTGACGGCGCCGTCTGCCCCATCAATCCAAACTACATTTTGCAAACGAGGAACGCTATATTCATTCCGTTTCAGAGTTGTATTGCATGCGCACGTAAGCGTGCAAATGCGGCAGCGCATTGTGTTCACGAGCTAAGGTTGCAGTACGCGCGGTCGAACTTAGCCCCAATTCCTTATCGGTTTGGTTGCACTCAAGCATTTCGGTACATAGCGCATTGCACGTTGCAGCATCGAAAGCATCGTGGTCGGGGGGCCTTCGCGCGGTGGCGGGCCTCCTCCGGGAGCTTCCCGGGGCGGGCCCTCCCGGGCGGTGGTTTTCGCGTGGTGTTGGCCCCCGCGGCACGTTTTCGCGGTGTCGCGGCGGGTGCGTTCGCGTGGTGGCAGGCCTCTGGAAGCCTCCCGGGGCCGGAATACCACCAACCCTCTGGGCGGAGGTGGTCTAGAGCGCTTCCGTATCCAACCTCCCTGATATACCCCCCCCCCCCTCCCTCCTTGGGTTTGGACGGCGCGGTCCCGAGGGGGAGGGTCCTTTTTGGCCCAAGATGGCTCCAAGATGGCCTCAGAGAGCGCAAGTTGGCCTCCAAGATGGCCCAAGATAGCTCAAGATGGCTCAAGATAGCCTCCGACACACATCCAAGAGGCCTCAAGGCTGCCCCAAGACGGATCCAAGTGCCTTTCGAGCCTTCAACGGCACCCTCCAAGATGCCAAAATCCTTCAAAAAAACGGAAAATCAATGTTTCAAGCATTCTCGCCTTTTCGCTTCCGATGGGCTTTGGCATCCTTCAAAAAAAACGGAAAATCAATGTTTCAGGCATTCTCGCCTTTTCGCTTCCGATGGGCTTTGGCATCCTCAACATGGCCCCCAGTTGCCCCAAGAGAGCCCCAAGAGGGGTCCAAGAGGGCCCCAAGATGGCTTCAAAACCGGCCAAAAACGCTCCAAGAACGGCCCAAGACGGCTCCAAGACATCATTTATGAGCCTCCGAGTGGGGCGACGGGCATTGGTCCCCCCCTCTTTTTTAGCCATGGGGCCCAAGACGGCCCCAAGAGGCCTCCCAAGCCTCCCCAAAGACACTACGACGCTTCGAAGAAACCCTCACCACAATATATCCCCTAAGGCTGGCTTCTCGTCCTCCTTGTTATATGTCCCCTCCTCCTTTTCTGTTTGTCCTCCTCCTCCTCCTCCTCCTCCTCCTCCTCCTCCTCCTCCTCCTCCTCCTCTTACCCCCAAGATGGTCCCAGGCATCGCCAGCACCAGCAGCACTATCAGTAGCACCAGCATCAACACCAGCAGCAGCGATACCATGAGCACAGACTACGACGACAACACCAACGATACCAGCAGCTACAGCCCGACACCCTTCGCTACAAGAGCTCTCCCAACTCACCGGTGTTGCCAATCAAGCCGCCGTGGGACATCCGCGCCTTCCTTCCTCCCTTCCTGCCTCCTCCCTCCTCCTCTTCATCCTCCCCGTGCCGCTTTCCTGCTCTTCCTCCTTTTCCCCGTCCACCTGTTCCGTTTTCCTCCTCCTCCTCCATTTTCTCTTCCTACCCCCAAGATGGCCCCAGCAACAGAACCACCAGCAGCAGGAGCACCACAAGCAACAGCACAAGCAGCAGCACAAACACCAGCAACAGCAACATCAGCACCAACATCAACAACAACAACAACAACAACGCCAGCGACAGCATCATCAGCAGCACCGACAGCAGCACCAACACCTGAGCAATTTCGAAACGCACGCGAGTTTAATATACAAACCAGTGCAAAGGTTAAGATCAAGGATGTCCATCGAAATGCGACTCTAATCTGCGCGCCGCTGGCGTCGGATCGTAGATACAGGAACCTGCGCCAGAGACGCTTACCAAAGGGAGCGCTATGGTGCATGTTGCACTGACTTCTGTCTTAAAATTCACTGCGCGAAGGTCATTATCTTCCGGCCCAGGATACGGCCCACCCTGTTTTGACGCTTCCAAAACAGCTGTGCGACCGCGTGCTTCCAGGCGTCCCTGATTGACCAACTCACCTGGTAATCGTTACTGGATGGACGTTTACCACAGGGGACCTCACGGCGCATCTCGCACGAATTTCCATCTCAAACTTCAGTGGGGGAAGCTATGTGTGATCCTTGTATTTTCTGGCCCGAGGTACGGCCCCCCAGTTTTGAAAGCAAGAATGCCTGTGCGCACGGCGGTGTCTATGCGGAGCTTCTGCGCCCCTTCCAACACGTTCTGCACCTCCAAATTCTATGGGGCAGCGTGCAGCGCGAAGCCTGCAGGGGATCTGGTATCGCATATAAGCACGAAATACCCAATCTATGCATGTACGTGCAGGAACTGAGCGGTGGCGTCAAGACCCCGTGGGTTCTGTACGAGCTCCGCGAAGAAGGCCAACGTGGTGCGAGGAATTGCGTGCGCGGCCCTCGCCGCGGTCAAAATTGGAACCGAAGGCTCAGCCCCGCTCTTCCGACTTGCCTGCATGAAGGCAATGAGTTCGGCATCTGCTAAATATTCGAATGGCGACGAGCGAATTCTGCTGAAGCCTAGCGACATTGCGTCGCTGACAGCCGATGAGAGAGCCCAGATCGTGATGCAGGCAGAGGCAGCGTTGGTGGAAGTGCGACAGATCGCAAGCCAACTTCACATCCCCCACGAGAGTGCCACTTGGAGCACCACGATCGGACTGGCCGACGTCAGGGTCGTGCACTTCCTGTTCAACAAGCCCGACGACTCCCGAGGCATCAGCCATGCCTGCGTCGCGAACATCGGCTTCGGCTGCTGGCAGGCATTGTGCAGCAGCACCGGCAAGACAACGCCTTGCCTTTTCCAGCAGAGGCAGACTGCAGCAGCCGCGTCGCCGTCGGAACAGACGCCCGATACCACAGAGAGGCAATGCCACCATCAGGGCAACTAGATAGACCAAGCGGCAACGTTGCAGACAAAGGGTTTCAAGATGGGCGCTTCCGTGTAGCGCGGCTTATGCCATTACCATCATTGACAGCGGTAAAGTGACGATCAAGTCTGGCCTCAAGGAGTGCACCAAGGACGCAGAAGATTTCCTGCGGGGCAAGTTCGCAATATACGACGTCGTCAAGGACGTCGTCGACAACTTCGACGCGTGCAACCCGACCAAACTCATGGGCTGGAACTGGAGCGTGGAGGAGGGGAATATCAGGCGATCATTGGACGAGCTATACAGCAAGCATGTTACGTGCCTGGAGAACTTCACAGGCGTGGTTTCCCCGATGAAGTACCGCGCGTTGCAGGTCAAGGCGTCGCTCGCTAAGGACACGCTCGCCCTCGCCCCACTCACGTCCTCGATCGGTCTGAGAAGGCAGACAAATGACGCGTCGCTCGGCAGCGTCTGCCTGCAGACGCACACGGACCCGCTCAAGAATACCGCGTACAATGCGGCCCTCAATCCGCTCCTCAAGACCAAGAAGGACACCCATGCATCAACTGGCATCGGCGGCCTGCCGGAGCCCGCGCCGCGCGCCGCTGCGCCTTCCTGTCTGCTCACAGAGGGCGCGGGGGCGACGGCCAACATGGCCCTGAAGCATGCGTCGACCAGCGTGGGCGTGAAGGCCCCAGTGCTAGCCAACAGCAAGAATCTCGCCGCTGGTGACACGCCGCACGCGTCACGCGAAACGTTGGCCACCCTGTCGGGGAAGCCAGCGCGCGTCGCAACGGGCAGCGAGCCCAAGAGAAAGGCAGCGAAGAGGGGCTGAGGAGGCATCGGCAAGCGCTGCCATCCGCGGCGCACGCGTGCAGGGCGGCACCCCTGCAGGGCGCAGCGAGTGATGTGAACCCTCCGCATTTAGATAACCAGCGGCTGCGCGCATGAGAAAATACGCGTGGTCAGATCCAGACGCGCGGTCGACATCAAGGCGTATCCCGTGCCTGGCTTGTGGGTCAGATTATGCGTTTTGCTGTTGCGATATCGTCGCAATGCGCCGCAGCCGTATTGGCCTGAGCGAGACCCGCCTTGATCCTGCCCGAAAGGCAATGCCGCCCCCACGCCGAGTGACCGGCAGGTTGGCCATCGAGGGAGGGGGTCTAAGGAGCCGCGGGCGCCGCGGGACATCCTGCTCAGGGGTGGCAAGCCGTGGATCGAGCTCAGCAAGAAGGACGCAAAACTCCAATTATTCGTCGGCCCCCCACTAAACAAACCGTAACTAAGTAATACTACTAAACATGGCAACAAACCGGACAACACGTCGTTGACAGGCCTCCTACCTTATCGGGCCATCGGGGCGCGCCGTTCAATGGACAACTGCTTCTTGTCGGATTTGAGGGTCATGCGCAACCGCGCAGTGGGCCAACGCATCTGGGAACACCTGAAACAAGACGACCCGCTACTTCGGGACGCCCAGCGGGACAAGATAGTTCAGGACCGCAAGAAGCACATCGACGAGACATCGATGCCAGACTTTGTGGGGGCGCATTGTCCTGGCTTCACGTATGACAGAGAGGCAATGCCACCATCAGGGCAACTGGATAAAACAAGCGGCAACGTTGCAAACAAAAGGTTTCAAGATGGGCGCTTCCGTGTAGCGCGGCTTATACCATTACCATCATTGACAGCGGTAAAGTGACGATCAAGTCTGGCCTCAAGGAGTGCACCAAGGACGCAGAAGATTTCCTGCGGGGCAAGTTCGCAATATACGACGTCGTCAAGGACGTCGTCGACAACTTCGACGCGTGCAACCCGACCAAACTCATGGGCTGGAACTGGAGCGTCGAGGAGGGGAACTTCAGGCGATCATTGGACGAGCTATACAGCAAGCATGTTACGTGCCTGGAGAACCTCACAGGCGTGGTTTCCCCGACGAAGTACCGCGGGTTGCAGGTCTAGGCGTCGCTCGCTAATGACGCACTCGCCCTCGCCCCACTCACGTCCTCGATCAGTCTGAGAAGGCAGAAAGATGACGTCTGCCTGC